TACCTGGCGTCCTAACTCTCAGCAATCTTAAACTCCTGGGCTCACACGATTCTCTTGCCTCAGCCTCCCAAGTAGCTGGGATTATAGGCACCCACCATAATGCCTGGCTGTTTTTGGAGATGGGGGGGGTCTCCCTGTGGCTCAGGCTGGTCTCAACCAGTGAGCTCAGGCAATCCACCTGCCTTAGTCTCCCAGAGTGCTAGGATTATAGACATGAGCCACTGCTCCTGGCCCCAAGTGTAACATGTTTACAGCCCAGCACCTAGCACACAGTGAGTGTGCAATTGAAAGCTGAGTATTAGCTGTGGCTATTAGTGTGTGTCCTCAGCTCTTTCCAACAGCTGCTGGCTGAGGGCTAGGTTAGGAAATGGAGACAGAGTGGGGAAGTGTAGCATCTTGGGGACTTGAAGCTGATACTTCTTCCTGAAGAGTCTTAGTCTCCCCATGTGTTAGTGAGGATGCATTCTCTCTTCCCTTCATTTGGTGTTCCTGAGCACCTGGCATGGACCAGGCCGTGTTCAAGGCCCTGGGGATCTAGCAGTGCACAAAAGAGATTCCTGTCTCATGGAGTTATGTTCTAGTGTTGGAGACAGGCAATGAATAAATATAAGGTATAGTGTCACATGTGGTAGATGTGAAACCTTCTACAAGGAGCTCTGAAATAAAAGGGAGCAGCCATGCTCCAGAGCATTATATAGGTGGAGGCAGCAGCAACTGCAGAGGTCCTGAGTCCTGAACCAGAGCCAGAGCGTGGAGCATGTCTGGAGTGTTCAAGGGATGGCACGGGTGTGGGCCTGGAGCAGAGTGGGGACAGAAGTCTGAATAGCATAGGAACAGTAGCCTAGAGAGTTTTAGCAAATCCCCTTGGCTGTTGTAGAGAGCAAGGCTAGAGCAGAGCCCAGGGAGGAAGCTGCTACTGGGAGGTCCAGACAAGAGATGATGCTACCTGCACCAGTGTACTGGTGCATGAGGCTCAGAAGTGGTGGGCCTCCTTCTCAGTACCTGTTTTTGGGAGCTAGGTCAGGATTTAATGAGCCCTCCTATGGCTCTGTGGCACTCAGCTAGAAGTCCTGCAAGGTCTAGCTTTCATGAAACTCAGTGGTGGGAGCTGCTGCTACTATTGACATTCTTGTGACAACTTAGACTTGTGACCCCCATACAAGGGCTCTGGCCTGAGGGCTATAGACTCAGGGACAGCCTTCCCCATAGTAGTACCCTTTTGAAGGATTGTCTTTAAAACTTTGTTGAGATGTAATTTACATACCACAAAATTCACTCATTTAAAGTGTGGGTTGTACAACCATTGCCACAATGAAATTTTAGAAAATTGTCATTGACCCCCAAAGAAACCTTTTATCCATTAACAGTCAGTCCCTAACCCCAAACTCCTCAGCACCTGGCAGCTGCCACTCTGTTCTTGGTCTCTTTGGACTTATGTATTTGGACATTTCATAAAAATAGAATTATACAGGTGTGGCGCCTGTGGCTCAGCTGGTGGGGTGCTGGCCCCATATACTGAGGATGGTGGGTTTGAACCCAGCCCCAGCCAAACTGTAATGGAAAAATAGTCAGGCGTTGTGGTGGGTGCCTGTAGTCCCAGCTACTTGGGGGGCTGAAGTAAGAGAATCACTTAAGCCTAGAAGTTGGAGATTGCTGTGATCTGTGTGATGCCATGGCATTCTACCGAGGGTGATAAGGTGAAACTCTGTCTCTAAAAAAAAAAAAAAATTATACAATGTATGGCCTTTTGTGACTGGCATCTTTAACTTAGGACACTGTTTTCAGGGTTCATCCATGTTGTAGCCTGTGTCAGAGCTTTATTCTTTTTATTGCCAAATAGTATTCCACTGTATGATGTACCACATCTTGTTTATCTGTTCATCCGTTACGGACATTGAGGTTGTTTTCCACCTTTGGCTATTGTGAATAATGCTAATGTTGTGAATATTAGTATAGAAGTGTTTGTTTGAATACCTGTTTTCAGTGCTTTAGGTTACATACTTAGGAGTGGAATTGCTGGGCCATATGGTAATTCTTTGTTTAACTCTTTGAAGAACCTGATTTCTTCACATTCTTGTCAATACTTGTTATTGGCTGTCCTTTCACTTTTAGCCCTCGTAGTGTGTATGAATTGGTATCTTGTGGTTCTGATTGGCCTTTCCCTGATGACTAATGATGTTGGTCATCTCTTTGTGGATGTCTACAGTCTTGGTATCATAGATGTTGGTCCAGGTTGAAGTGCACACCTGGCTCTGAACGAATGGCCCTGGGTGTGGGGGATAACATTTTAGGGAGAAAAGTCTCAGTACTGGCAGTGCAGAAAATGGAGCTTCTTGCTTGGGAGGAAACAATTCTCCTGTCTCTAGAGGGGGTGCAGGTTAGTTCACCTTTCAGGTAGGGCCTGGTTGACCTCAGCGTGGTTATATAGGGAGTGGTGGGGTTTGGAGCTTGTCTAGGTGGTAACCTCCATCCTGTCCACCCCTGCAGAAGAAGGACCCAGCCCAGTTCCTGCAGGTACATGGCCGAGCTTGCAAGGTGCACTTGGATTCTGCAGTTGCCCTGGCTGCCGAGAGCCCTGTTAACATGTAAGACTCACATGGGGTCAAGGTCGTGTTTATTACTTGGAGGTCGGGGGTCAGAAGGGACCAAAGGGGTGGTGTAGGGTCTGGAACAGAGACTCTGGAGTATGGACAGACTTGGGGACTCTGAGGCAGGGAAGGCTTGGCCTGCATGTGAAGGTGACAGTCACAGAAGCTAAGTAGAGTGGGCAGGGTTGGTAGCAGTGGTGGTTGGAAAACTTAAAGGGAAATGAGTGGGGCCAGGGCTCCAGAGGAAGTAGAGAGTATGTTGCCAGAGAGGAGTCTTTCAGGGTGACTGGGGCCTCTCAAGTGGCCTCTAGGACCTGTTTTTTTTTTTTTTTTTTTCTCTGAGACAGAGTCTCACTTTGTCAGCCTCCATAGAGTGTGGTGCATTGTAGCTCACAGCAACCTCAAACTCTTGGGCTCAAAGCAGTTCTCTTGCCTCAGCCTCCCTGATAACTGGGACTATAGGCGCCTGCCTTAGCGCCTGGCTATTTTTTAGAGATGGGGTCTTACTCTTGCTCAGGCTGGTCTCGAACTCCTGAGCTCAGGCAATCTACCTGCCTTGGCCTCCCAGAGTGCTAGGATTACAAGTGTGAGCCACCGCACCCAGCCATAGGACCTGGTTTTATGTTCCCTGCTCTACCTTGGTTATGAGAATAGGCCCTGGTATCCTTAGGGGCAGTCAGACTGGTGGTCTCTTCTGGGTCCCAAGAGCCTGAATGTGGATTTGGGGAGGTTTGTAACTTAAGGGACAGAGCTGAAGGGTGAAGGTAAGGGCCATGATATGGGATCAGAGGGGCCTGAGGGCCTGGTCACCAGGTTTCCAAGCTTGAGGTGGTAGAGAAGAAGCACAGTGAACTCTTTGTTTTCCTGTTTTCTTCCTCCCATTCAGGATGCCCTGGCAGGGGGACACCAACAACATGATTGACCGCTTCGATGTTCGTGCCCACCTGGACCACATACCTGACTACACGCCCCCACTGCTCACCACCATGTAAGCTACTTCCCCAAGGGGTTGCCAGGCAGGGAGTCATATCCAGCAGTACCTATTCTTTCCCCAGTCTGGAAGTGTGCATAATGGGGGCAGCCCACTCCCATATCAGATTTAAAGAATCACTGCCTCCCCCTGACTCTGAGCCCAAGCCAGGCACTTCGTTTCTCTTCTTGCTGGCCTGGGGTGAGATCAACACCCTCCCTCTGATCTTAGGATTTTGCTTTCCTCAAAGCTCCCCAGAACAAGAGTCAGATGAGCGGAAATGTAACTACGAGCGCTACCGGGGCCTGGTACAGAACGACTTTGCTGGCAGTGAGTAATCTGCAGGGGAAGTGAGGAGTGGGCTTGGGGACCCTAGAACTTGGAAGACCTTGTCAAGTTTGGGAAGAAAAATTGTATCTAAGTACTTCTTATTAAAGAGCCTTGGTTCTGGTTCCAGCTTTATCATGGACTCTTTGTGTCTACGTTTCCCCTTTGGGGCTTGTCTTTCTGGAATTGGTATAGGAGACATCTGCAGAACAAGATATTCCTACAAGATCACCTCCATAAACCATGCCCTCTGATGCTGTGGTCCCTTTTTTTTTTTTTGAGACAGAGTCTCACTTTTGCGCCCTGGGTAGAGTGCCATAGCATCACAGCTCACAGTAACCTCAAATTCTTGGTCTCTGGAAATTCTCTTGCCTCAGCTTCCCAAGTAGCTGGGACTACAGGTGCCTGCCACAACGCCCCACTATTTTTTTGTTTTAATTGTTGTTGTTTGGCCTGGACTGAGTTCGAACCTGCCAGCTCCTATGTATGTGGCTGGTGCCCTAGCCACAGAGCTATAGGCGCCAAGCCACTGTGGTCTTTTTTTATATTACTATTATTATTATTTTATTTTATTTTTTTGTAGAGACAGAGTCTCACTTTATCACCCTTGGTAGAGTGCCATGGTGTCACACAGCTCATAGCAACCTCCAACTCCTGGGTTTAGGCGATTCTCCTGCTTCAGCCTACCAAGTAGCTGGGACCACAGGCACCTGCCAGAACAACCGGCTATTTTTTTGTTGCAGTTTGGCCAGGGCTGGGTTTGAACCCGCCACCCTCCATATATGGGGCTGGCGCCCTACCCATTGAATAGGTGCTGCCCAAGCTGTGGTCTTTTTTTTATGGAAAAAAGTGGAGAATAGCAGGAGCACATTTTTTACCTCTGTGTACTTTTCTCAGCCTGCATGAATCAGATCGTTAACTGTGAAGAAGAAATTTCTCCTTGATTTATGACAATTTGTTGAGCATTCATTGTTATGTCCAGGATTTTTCTCTAAGCCCAGTTTTGTTGCCACTTCACAAAGGAGAAAATGCAGGCTCAGGGAGACTTCTGGGCTTAACCTTACTATACTTGGGCTTTTTTGCAGCTAGGGTGCTGGCCACATACACCGGGGCTGGTGGGTTTGAACCTGGCCCAGGACTGCTAAACATCAAAGACAACAACAACAACAAAAAATAGCTGGGCATTGTGGCAGGTGCCTGTAGTCCCAGCTACTTGGGAGGCTGAGGCAAGAGAATTGCTTAAAGCCAAGAGTTTGAGGTTGCTGTAAGCTGTGATGCCCTGGCACTGTACCCAGTATGACATCATGAGACTCTGTCTCAAAAAAAAAATTTCTGCACAACCACCTAACAAGGTAGGAGTGACAGCCCATTTTATAGACAAGTATTTTGAGGATTAGGGCAGGTGTCCTCAAACTATGGCTGGTGAGCCATATGCAGCCCACCTAGGACATTTATCTGGCCCACCGGGTGTTTTTGCTGCTGCTGCCTGTCCTGCTTAGCATTCGACTTGTTCCGGGGCCCACAGTCCAGCCCTCCAATGGTCTGAGGGACAGTGAACTGGCCCACTGTTTAAAAAGTTTGAGAACCCTTGGATTAGGGGATAAAGGAGACACCATGTTTAAGGAGCAGGGATTCTCCCCTGTGTCCTTCACTGCTGCTATCTCCTAATGAAAAGCTCTTAACTCACCTACCAAGAAGGACTTGAGATCCCTCCTCTCAGAGTTTCTCAGTGGAGTAAAGGGAAAGAGAGTTCTCTGCTGGGCTTGTCCATACATGAGTCCCTTACCCAGAGGGTCTTGGTATCTGCTGAGAATAGTAGTGGTGATGGTTTTGTTGCTTGGGGTAGTTGTGAGAGTGCAGTGAGGTAGTGTGAATAAAACCCAGCACTGACACTGGCACTGTTAGCCCTCAATATGGATTTGCTAGTCCCATATTTCTTTGTTTCTAAGATAAATTCTTTTGCGTCTTTTAAATCAGAAGATGCCCCAAATTCTAATAATCAGTGAGTCCTTAGAAACAGAGAAATTTGTCATCATCACTATTGTTTTTCCTGTTACCCAAGTTCACAGTGATTCTTGGTGGTGGAGGCAGGGGCTGCCTTAGGTTTGTGTTACTCTACATTCATTTATTTGCTCCACAAAGAATTATTAAGCACCTGCTGTGGAGTGTCAGGGATTATTCTGTGATGAGTGGCATAGGAGGGGAGAGGGCAGCAGCTATCTACCGTGTAAGTGATGGTAGATAAACTAAGGCAGTGTTAGGATAGACAATATACTCTTCTCAGAAAAATAGGACAGAAGTCCTTCGCTGAGGCTGGGACTAGTGAAGGGTATACAGGAGCTCCCTCAAGAGGAGAGAGTATGGTGCAGAAAACAGCATATACAGAGACTTTGTGGGGGTGAGGTGGGCACTCTGGTTGAACAGAGAGAAGGTTTATATGGAGGGAGCAGGGAGAGCGAGGCAGCTGTGTGAGACAGGTCAGCAGAGCCCTCAGCTGGGCACTGTAGACAAGAGACAACAATCAGGATGTCTGCTCAAACAGAGGAGGGCCATGCTCTGTCACCTCTAGGCCCACCCACCTCACATTACAGATAGAAAAAGCTAAGGCTTGTGGAGAGAAAGCCTGTCATCCTAAGCCACACTTAACTTAAACTGAACCACAGGGAGGTACACAGTGGAGTGACTGATGCCGTCTGATGGCATCTAGCACTCAGGAGCAGGTGAATAGTTCTAAAGGGTCCAGCCCCAGGCCTCCATAACAGTGATTATGGTAGCAGTGCCTGAGTCCCATTTGGCAGAAGAGGAAACTGAGGCATGAGTCACTTGACCAGGGTTGCCCAGAGACTAAGTGGTGTAGCCAGGGCTCAGCTACAGTTGCTTGTGTCCCAGCAGACATACTTTGTGATTATCTAGAACTGGTAACTCTGCCCTCAGCTGCTCTGGGGTTGCATACCCCCCCCCCCCACATACTTATGTCCTCTGAATTCCCAGTGTTCCAGCCCACTCTTACCTTGTATCTCCTGCTCACTGCAGTCTCAGAGGAGCAGTGCCTGTACCAGATCTACATTGATGAGTTGTACGGAGGCCTCCAGAGACCTAGTGAGGATGAGAAGAAGAAGTGAGTCTGGGGTGCAGGATGAGGGAGGGAGGGGGGCTGTGAGCCTCCTGGGCATGGCCTCTCCAGTCCAGCATGGTGTTCACTTGGGTGCCTCCCTCAGTGATGCCTTCTGTGGTGCTCCTGAGGCTCCCCCTTTGTGACAAGTAGGTGCTCAGTTAATCTGCCTTTCAAGGAGGAAGCAGCAGCAGGTGGGCGCAGGGTTTGCTGAAGACAACTGGTAGAGTGGTGGGAGATGCAGGCCCTGTGGTGACATGGCCTGGGATTGAGTCCTGGATGGGAGGCTTAAGAGAGGACTTTTCCTCTGAGCTTTGCTGTTCTCCTGTAAATGGGGCTAACAAGGGACCCCACTGCCTGCAGTTGTGAGGAATACTACAGATTGAGCTTATAAAGCCCTTGTCCTAGTTGTAGCCATACTGTAAGTGCACAGTCAGCAGCAATTGATGTCACTCTGGAGAGTGGTTTTTCAAAGCCATGTTCCTCAAGGAATGGCTGGGGGCTGGGGGCTGGGGGCCTTATCCTGGAGCACCCCTAGAGCAAGGTGGTCCTGAGCTGCCATCTCAGAAGAGCAGCAGTTGGACAGTCCCCCTTCTTTCTTGTCCACCCTCCTCTGGCTGAACACAGCCCCTCTTACTCCCCAACCTTTGCGCTCTTCGCCCTGCCAGGGTTAAACTTCTTTCTCTTTGGGGCCACTGATGTTCCACCTGGAGCCCTGGGTGCAGGGCCTTGGTGCCTTCCTCAATGATGCCTTCTCTCATGCTCCTAAGCCTCCCCTTTGTGACCCTAACTGCTGGCTGCCTTCCTTCACCTGAAAAGTTTTCACAGGACTGGACTAGAAATTTCTTGAAGACGCTGACCCTCATTTGTGGTGCCAGCCTCAAGGTCCTGCTCAGGCTCTTCAGGCCCTGCTCTGTTGTAGGCAACACTGGGGCACGTTGTTGCTCAGAATAACTCTGGGCTATGCCTACACAAGACTCATAGTCTAGTTGGGGGAGACAGACCTGTCCCCCAGTAGTAATGACCCAACGTGAGCAGGGCTAGGAAGCTCAGGACTGTATTGACCCTGCCTGAGGGGGCAGTCAAGGACTTCCTAGCAGATGGGTTTTGGAGTTGGGATATAAAGGAAGAGGGGGCAGCAGGAGCAGAGAGTCAGGCTGAGGGAGAGCCTGAGGGGAAGGTGCCATGGCACTCCAGAGGCCACTGTGCAGGGTCTGCCTGCCTCCTTTCTGCTGGGCGCTGCCTTGGCTCACTGGCTTCTCTCTCACAGGCTGGCAGAGAAGAAGGCTTCCATTGGTTATACCTATGAGGATAGCACAGTGGCTGAGGTAGAGAAGGCAGCAGAGAAGACTGAGGAGGAGGAGTCACCGGCTGAGGAGGAGAGCAACTCGGATGAAGATGAGGTCATCCCCGACATCGGTGGGGTCCCCTCTCTGCCCTCCCCTCCCACAGTCCCTGGGCATCGTTTTCGTGTCTCGTCCCTCACCCTCTGTGGGGTACCCTGCGCTACAGGCCCTCTCTCTCTCCTTCCCTTGCTCTAGGGTGCTCCAGCCTCGTGCTACCTCCCTATCTCACTAGTGGTCTCCTCTGTTCCCTGCCTCCCTCCCTGTATCTCTTTCTGTCTCATTTCTCATTTCTAGGGCACTGTTTTTATGATATGTCCCCATCTAGATGTTGGCTCCGCTCTCTTCTGCTTGGGCTGTCCTTCCTCTGGCTCTCTCTCTAGCTCTCTTCTTTTTCCACTGGAAAACAAGTGTTTATCTTTAAGTCTACAGAGTTGTTCCTTATCCCCCCCAGCATCTACTCGTATATCCCTCCCTCACTCTGCTGTTTACCTCTTGTCACATACCTGCTGATCATACTTCCTAGGTGTCTTTTCATTTTCTTCATCCTGGCTCTCACTGCACTGTCTAGCTCTTTATTCATCCTTGGGTAGAGCTTATGTTTGCCTTCTCCACCTGTCCTTTCGCTGTTCATCACATGTCCAGCTCCTACACTGCTGTAACCCATGCTACCACCCGCCTGGATCTTCATCCCTCATCTTTCGCCCATTCACTCCTCCTCTCATGCCACTCCCTCCACACATCTCACTTACTCGTCCATCCATTCACCTGCCCTTCTCCCATGTCCCATTCCCCAAGCCCCCTCTGTCCACCTTGTGTGGTGCTTACCTCTGACCAGGCCCTGTGCCAGCTGGGGATGCAAGATGAGCCAGACCTGATGCAGCCCCTCCCTGAAGGTTCCTCCAGTCTGGCGGGTGCCCCTATCCACCTCAAGCTCCTAGGGCACTGCCCCTCCCCTGTTAATTCACTTGGCTTTAGCTCCTGACAGCCTTTCTCTTGGTGCAGATGTGGAGGTGGATGTGGATGAACTGAACCAGGAGCAGGTGGCAGATCTCAACAAACAGGCCACAACCTATGGCATGGCCGACGGTGATTTTGTCAGGTGAGGCCTACCTGCTAACACCCCTCCCCCGTCTGTGTGCCCCACCTTGACATCTCTATTACTGCCCAGGCACTAGCAGCCATCCTGTTTGTGAGCATTTTATGCCTGGCCCTAGGCTGAGGACTTTACCCATATAGGCCCCTGAGTCCATCGTATATGTGGCCCCATTTTGTGCAGAAACTGAGGCTGCACCCGAAATTACCTACCCTGTCCTTGGTGTGACTTGAGCAAGTCTGACCCCAAAGCTCAATTCCTGGGGCTGGTAGACAGTGACCCCTAGTGGGGAGGCTCCATTCCTGGTTCATTTCCCTTAGCTGGTTAAGCCTCTATCCTGTGCTGAACTCTTTACTCAGAAGAACACATAACATAGACCAGTCCCATCTCACAGAACAGTGAATCAGAAATAATCCTAAGTTAGAACATAGCACCCTCTGCTGAGAACCCTCCATGGCGTCCACCTCATTTAGAGTCAGCCAGCATCCTCAGTAATGCCATAAGGTCTTACCTGCCTGGGCCTCTTGCTCTCACATGTCCCCCCATTTAGCCTTCATGGTCTCCTTTTTCCTCAAATGCCCAAGGTCTACTACAACCTCTAGGCCTCCTATCTGGCATCTGTGCATTTGCTGCACCAGGTTCCTCTTAAGATGTCCTGTTCTCTGGTTTTACTGACCTCCTGTTTGAAACATTCAGCCTCCTCTGCCTGTTCCCTGGCATGTCCTTTTTTCCTTCCATGGTTTATTTTTCCAGTCAAGGTTAGCACAATCTAATAGGCCATGCATTTTATTACCTTAGTCATTGTGTGTCTTCTTCCCTAGAATGTAAGCGCATGCAGGTGAAGATTTTTTTTGTTTCAATGCTGAATTCTTTTTTTCTTTAAAGACAGTGTTTCACTCTTGTTGCACAGGCTAGAATGCTGTGGCATCAGCCTGATTCACAACAACTTCAACCTCCTGGTTTCAAGTCATCCTCTTCCCTCAGCCTCACAGGGAGCTGGGACTACAGATGCTTGCTACAATGCCCAGCTGATTTTTCTGTTTATAGTAGAGATAAAAGGTCTCACTTTTACTCACGGTGGTCTTGAACTTCTGAGCTCAAGGGATCCTCCTGCCTTGGCTTCCCAGGGTGCTAGGATTGATGGCACCAACTCCTATACCTGGATTTGCTAAATTCTTTTTTTCTTTCTTTTTTTTTTTTTTAGAGACTTTTTTTGCCCTCAGTAGAGTCCTATGTTATTATAGCTCACAGCAAACTCAAACTCTTGGGCTCAAGCAATTCTCTGCCTCAGCCTCCTGAGTAGCTGGGACTACAGGTGCCTGCCACAATATGCAGCTATTTTTAGAGACAAGGTCTTAGGCTCAGGCTGACCTTGAATCTGTGAGCTCAGGCAGTCCACCCACGTTGGCCTCCCAGAGTGCTAGGATTACAGGTATGAGCCACCGTGCCTGGGCCCCTCTTTTTTTTTTTTTTTTGAGACAGAGTTTCACTTCGTCATCCAAGTAGAGTGCAGTGGCATTGTCAAAGCTCACAGCAACCTCAAACTCCTGGGCTTAAGCAGTCCTCCTGCCTCAGCCTCTGAGTAGCTAGGACTACTGGGGTATACCACCACAGCTGGCTAATTTTTCTAATTTTTGGTAGAGACAGGGTCTTGTTCTTTGTCAGGCTCTCAGTACTGAATTCTTTTTCTCTCTCTCTCTCTTTTTTTTTTTTGAGAGAGTCTCACTCTGTTGCCCAATTTAAGGTGCTGTGGGGTCAGCCTGCCTCACAGCAAAGTCAAACTCCTAGGTTCAAGTGATCCTTCTGCCTTAGCCTCCCAAGTAGCTGGGACTAAGGTACCCTCCAGGACACTCGGCTAATTTTTCTATTTTAGGTAGAGATAGGATCTCCATGTTGTTCAAGGGATCCTTCTATCTCAGCCTCTCAGAGTGCTAAGATTATAGGTATGAGCCACTGAGCCCAGCCTGTGCTGAATTCTTAATACCTAAAATAGCTCCTGGCACACAGAATGTGCTCAGTAGGTTGTATTGAATGAAGGAAAGGCACCCAGAAAGTGTGGTATGTGGTCCCTTACCTCCCGGTGACTTGGGGTCCCTCACCTTCTCTGATGACTGAGCCAGTGCCCCCCTCACCTAGTGATCAGTCTCTCTGCCATGTGATTCTCATCCCCCTCTGCAGGATGCTTCGGAAAGACAAGGAGGAGGCAGAGGCCATCAAACATGCCAAGGCCCTTGAGGAGGAGAAGGCCATGTACTCGGTGAGGTCTGGGCTGGAGTGGAAGGGGGTAGGGTTGTAGCTCAGGAAGAGCATACGCCTCATCATCCTGGTACCTACCCTACTCCAGGGCCGTCGCTCCCGGCGCCAGCGGAGAGAATTTCGTGAGAAGCGGCTTAGAGGCCGCAAGATCAGCCCACCCAGGTAAGACTTCTCCACTGAGCCCCACCATCCTACCAGCATTAGTCTTGGAAGATTCTAAGGGTAGGGAACAGGGCTCAGGGCCCGGGAATGCACTTTGGTGGCAGATTGTGGCTTGAGGAAAGAGTGAGTCTTCCTAGTGGGGAAATAAATGGCCTGAGTGAAGGTTTAGAGGTAGGAATGATTTTGAGGGACATGTGGACAACTTTCCCTGTCAGCCAGTCCCCTTATCCTACTATACTTGGGTCCCTCGCTGTACTCCCCAGGTGTCAGTGTGGAGGTGGCACAAGGCTGTTGCCAGGAATGGCTGGGAGAATTGAGGGCACAGGCCTGGCCCTGGATTCTGATCCAGTTCTGCTGCTTGGCCACTTCCTCTCTGTCAGGATTTGGACAAGTGACTTCCCTTCTTTGAGCTTCAGTTTCTTCCTTTGGAAAATGGAGCACTGTCACCTATGAGGGGAGAGGGCTGAACTAGTCTCCATGTGGAAGTCTTGGGACAGGTTTGAATGAGGCAATTTGGCGTGGAGGGGAGAGCCCAGCCTGTGTCAGGAGTCCTCATAGAGCGCCGCTGAGGCCTTAGGTACCCCATACAAATCCGTGGTTCTTTTTGCCACTTCTCTGTTAAAGGAGAGTTATGAGAATTGCTGTGAGGCTTAAATCGTAAGTTTCAGATTCAGGGGTGGTATGGAAAATGTTCATTAAAGAGTAGCACTGGGGGCTTGGCGCCTGTGGCTCAAGCGGCTAAGGCGCCAGCCACATACACCTAAAGTGGCGGGTTCGAATCCCCAGCCTGGGCCCACCAAACAACAATGATGGCTGCAACCAAAAAATGGCCAGGCGTTGTGACAGGCGCCTGTAGTCCCAGCTACCTGGGAGGCTGAGGCAGGAGACTCGCTTGAGCCCAGGAGTTGGAGGTTGCTGTGAGCTGTGATGTCATGGCACTCTACCCAGGGGGATAGCTTGAGGCTCTGTCTCAAAAAAAAAAAAAAGAGTAGCACTGGGGTGGGGGTGGCACCTGTGGTTCAAAGGAGTAAGCACCAGTCCCACATGCCAGAGGTGGGTTCAAACCTAGCCCGGCCAAAAACTGCAAAAAAAAAAAAAAAAAAAAAAAAAGAGTAGCACTGGAGTGGCACCTGTGGCTCAGTGAGTAGGGTACCAACCCCATATACTGAGGGTGGTGCATTCAAAACTCACCCAGCCAAACTACAACAGAAAAAAAAATGGTGTGGGCGTTGTGGCGGGCACCTGTAGTCTCAGCTACTCAGGAGGCTGAGGCAAGAGAATTGCCTAAGCCCCAAAACTGTAGGTTGCTGTGAACTATGACACCACAGCACTCTACCCAGGGCAACAAAATGAGACTCTGTCTCTTTAAAAAAAAAAAAAAAAAAGAGTGGCACTGATTCCCATTGTCCTCAGCTTAGAGGCACTGTCAGGGTAGTGCATGAAAACATGGGCTTGGAACCACAGGGCCTGTGTTTGGATCTCAGCTCTTTCATTTATGAGCTGTTTGACACTGGCCAAATGACTTCACCACTCTGGGCCTCAGCTTCCTCAGAAGTGTGAATAATTATGATACCCATATCAGAGAGTTACGAAGAGCCATTGAGTTAATAGATATAATAGCATTTTAATGCATAGCACATAGTAAGCAATTAGGATATTAGTAGTTATTTTAGTTTTATTTATTTATTTTTTTGGTCAACCCCTTGGTCAGTTTATAGCTGTTTTAGTTTTGTTATCATCATCAGTAATAAGCCAGGACCCAGTTAGAACTGGGAACAAGAATAGAAGGGATGGTTCCAGTCTAAGGCCAGGAGGCCAAACAGGACCAAGGCAACTGAAAACCATGTTCCTTTGAGTCAGGATGAGTCTGAGATATTGTGGTATGGGGCTAAAGTTCATGCTTTGGATAGATCTGAGGTGGGTGGAGGAGTCAAGGCAAGGCCCATAACCTGGTTGGTAGCCCTCCCCACACTGTGCTTGGTGCCTGGCCTTAGGCACACAGGTTGGGGGGCTTGGCCCATTTCCACATCTACTCAGGTTCTAAGTCCCTACTTGTCCCACTCCACTTTTCTCTATAGCTATGCCCGCCGAGATAGCCCCACCTACGATCCCTACAAGCGGTAAGTCCCCACAGAATCCCCTGATGGCAGAGCAGGGGTGGTAAGGTGGGGGAAGGGGCTCACCCCACTGGACCACCCCAAAGTCACAGACTGCATGATATGTTCTGGGTTGAAACTATTCTGTGTTTGCCAGATTATTAGCCTATTTCCCCAGGGTTTTTTCAGTCTTTTTTCCTGAAATAATGCAGTCTTGTTGTAAAAATGATCAGACATGCCACAGGAGCAGAGCTACAGGTGTGGAGCCCACACATGGGTTTTGGTGAAATTAAAGTGTTGAGATGGCGGCTCGGTGCCTGTGGCTCAAGTGGCTAAGGCGCCAGCCACGTACACCCAAGGTGGCGGGTTCGAATCCAGCCCGGACCTGCCAAACAACAATGACGGCTGCAACCAAAAAATAGCTGGGCGTTGTGGCGGG